CACACTGCAGGCATCCTCTTTGGCTTGGAGGTTGGCTCCCACCCAGGTGAGGGACTGAAGCTGTAAAGGCAAATAAAAAGGAACACACCTGTCAGTTTCAAATTGCTCATGAATGCCCAGAATGGCAATATCAGAGAAGAGTGAGGTTACTGACAAGATAAGAGAAGGATTTCTTTTTATACTGCTTTTCCTTGCACACAGCCCAGGTCTCCAGATTGCTGAGGGAGAAGACACTGGACACGTGCCCCCTGGGATGCTTGTCTGCAGCAGCAAGGACATGATGAAGGCTCCTGTGCTGCCGATCTCTCTTATCATGGTAGTGCATAACAAGTATGTTGGTGCCCTCCTCTCTCTTCTGCCCCTCCACTACCAGCAGCCAGACTGCCCCATCACATTACACATGCGGCAAAACCCAGCAAGTCCTTTCATTGGTTCTCTGTTGGTCACTGCTGCTGGCACCATCAATCCCTGCTCAGGGACCCACTCCTCCTTGGCACCCTGGCCTGTTCTGGCAGCTCTTCAGATGCTGAGCACCCTCTCCCACCTGTTTCAACATCCCCCAAAGACTTTGTCCTCTCTCCCCCGTTTTTTCAACAGCTCTTGCTTTTTACCCTCTGACTGACAGTTTCCGTGCTGTCCAGCAAGCAAGAAAATCACCTTCAATGCCTGGCTGTTGAGTTACCATGGAAACGCTCTCTGGATGTATTGTTCACCCTCATGGTGGTGATGTTCTTGGACAGTCTGTGTCCCCACCCCAGCTTCTGATGGCCCTGTTGGGCTCACAGCAGTGGTGTAGGGGAAAGGAGCAAGCTTAGAGCTGTGCCGGAGGGACAGGACACCAAACTCACACAGGCAGCATTCACATACTAGTACCCTCCTCCTGCAGAGCTTAGAAACAGTGCGCTCAATAGCCCACTCCTGATAGCAGCTTTCTCAGGGAATGGCCAGAGCCCAAAGATTAGCAGCAGCTGGGCCAGGAAACAAATCCCAGTGCTCAAGCTTCTTGTATTTGATTCAGGGTGCTTAATTTGAGAATTTTCAGTCATGGAAGAGGAGAAAGGAGCTCCCACACTCCAAGTGCAATGCAGAGTTGAGCAGCACTGTGTGCAGGCTTCTTCAACCAGCACCTCTGCCCAGGGCGAAGCTCCCCTTTGCCCCTGCCACCCTGGGGCAGCTGATAATTGCAATGGCTCTTCCCAAGCCTGCAGATGAGGCTGGCTAGTTTGACATGAGGAGTGTCACAGCAGGCTGGAGCTATTGCCCAGCCTCATTTCCACAGGCAGCAGCAGCACGGCTCACGGCCAGCCTGGCCAGCAGGGCTCCAGACACAGCACAGGACGCCTTCATCTGCCTTTCTATAGGCTGTCAGCTGTGCAGGTGCCAGAGTCTCCAAGAGCAGCTCCCAGGCTTGCAGGCAGCTCCTGTCTGTACCCAGCGTCACAGGGCTGGGGGTGCACGCAGCGCAGAAGCTTCCTTCAAAAAGGAAGGCTTGAAAAAACAGACTGCTGCCTTTCTGCTCTGAGCTACAAAATGGACGCAATGTGCAACATTTCAAAAATAATGGCTGTTTTTTTCTGAGATTTCCACTTGGCAAAACAGCAATCCTTGGAGAGGACAGAGTTTTGCTCAAAAACAAACAAACAAACAAACAACTTTTTTTTTTTTTCCTCCCATGAAAAACCTCTTCTCTGGAAGAAGAGAAAAACCACTCTTCTGGAAGCAGAAAAAGCATTTCTTCTCGAGAAACAAGTGGTGCTGGGAAAAAAAAAAGTGTGATTTCTTTTTGGTTGTATTTTTCCTTGAAAGGTGAAAAAAAATGCCATTTTGCACCAATTTTGTGAGAAGCCAAAAAAATAAATCTTCCTTTTCAATATGATGACATGGAAACACTTGTTTTTTTTTAATAATATGTATTTTCTCTACCTGCACAGCTCTATTAGGATAGCAAGCATTTAAGTTACTTTAGGTGGAAGTTGTTCATAATATAAAATGGTAATAGTTAACAAAATATATGGTAGGATTTTTTTCCTTTTTAGACATGAGGCTCATCTCACTGTAGGGAAGGCAAAAATAACTAATGGACAGACTGAGATAATCTTATTCATGCTTTATAGTAGCCTTTCACTACAGAACTGATTCAAAGGAAGCTGATGGAGTGAAATGTAGAATAACAGGCTACTAGCTACAATGGACAAAATGGCACATTTATATATTCTTGTTATTGGCTCAGTTATTGCTATGTGCTCAGCACTGCTCCCAGGCCGAGATGAACACTGCTTGGGAGGGAATTGGGGGGCATCAAGGATGCTCCCGCTTTGCCGCAGTTGACGTTGGAGCTGCCCCCTTCCCCAGGCCCCATGAGAGGCCTGGAGGAAGAGCTGAGATTGGCAGCAAGTTGTCAGCCCCAGAACTGGGCACTAATAAGGCCTGGCTGGACGCAGAGGTTTCCGAGGCAGGCACATAGATACATCTATAATGATATCTATATCACATCCTTGCTAATACAAAAGTGAATACAAACTGTGTGGCAATGATGCCTGAAAAATTAAAAGAAAGCCCTCCAAATTAAACGCAATATGCAGGATATTCTCCCCTGCAGGGATAAGCAGTCTCACATATATTCTCCCTTCCCCACTAACAAACTGCTTTCAAAGACCACACAAGGCATAGGAATGAAAGAGGAGGAGAAATGCATCAAGGAAAAGCAACAAAAGGGCTTCATAAATCTGCCAAGGGTTGGAGCTGCAAACCTTCTCCACATGGAGGAGGTATCCGAGCTGGCATGAGCTCCCGCTACATTAACAAAAATTCCTCTGCTCTGAGCTGCTCAGCTTGTGCTGCTCTAACCAAGCCAGTGCTCGACAGGCACCTCCATCTCAGGCCGAAACTCAGGATCCACCCTTACCTCTCAGAGACTATTTCTCCATCACACGCCATTTTTTGGAGCAGCACTTGCTGTTGGCAGGTAATGGGCTTGCTGCAAGACTGGTGTAGAGGGGTTATCCCACAGCACCAGGGCAATAGAGGGGTAAGCAGCAGGCAGGGGAGCACCAACCACAAAGCAGCAAGCTGAGCAGGTTGAAAAGCCAGTGCTAGGACAAAGATTTTGCATTTACAAGTATGAGATGGAGGAAAGGTCCTTCTAGCTGCCCACTCCCTCCTGCACCGTGCACCACGGCTGCTGTTAGCTGCTGTTATGCCTGGGGCTGGAGTTGCCAGGCAGCAGCACCCGGAGCAGGCTGGGAATGGAAGCAAGGCAGCAGCTTGGCTGCCAGCGGGGCCAGGCTGAGGGCTGCCAGTGCACAGCCCTGCTCAGACTCCTATGTGCCCTGCAGCACAAACACCTCCCCCTGCGGCCACAGCGCAGCCTGGTCAGGCCAGGCCCCAATGCTCCTGGCTGGGACCCTTCCCTGCAGCAACGTCATCAGCCATAAGCAAGGAGAGATGACAACTACCTCCACGGCTCTCGCTGTCTGCAGGTTTCACCTGAATTGGGCGCGCCATCTGCAATGAAAGAGAAATGCAGAGCATTAGTGTATGGCCAGCTGCCAGTCAGGCAAGATCCCATCAGCAAGCTCTTCCCAAACTGGGAGCCCTGCTAAGCAGAGCTGCTTGCGCACTGCAGGAGGAACTGAGCAGTGGCCCTGAACCACACTGGGGATAGCGCCATGTGCAGCCCAGTCCTGTCCCACTGCTTTGCCAGCCCCGCTGACCACGGCCTGGCATGGTGTGGCACAGCACAGCATAGCACCACGGGAGCCATGCCTGGCTGAGTGCACTAAGCATTCCTTGCTTCCACCAGCGCTGAGGCCGGCTGTGTGGGTCAGAGCTGGCTGTTTGGGTGTTGAGGCCAGGTGTGAGTGGCTGTGGGGTACTGCAGCAGCGCCCAAAATTGCGTGCAGCAGAAATCCTGGGGGGCAGCTGCCCTTCTCCCTCCCCACTATTCCCGCCACGCAGAGGAATGGCTTTATTCCCATCAGGAAGCAAGCACAGCATTAAGCTAACCAGATGGGGACAGAGGCAGAAGGGTGGCCTCAGATCTCCGCTCCCGCGCAGAGCTTCCCCTCTGGGAGCAGGGAGCAGGCAGCACTGCACAGCCCCGGGCCCCGAGCCCCGCTCGGGTGCCCCAAACGCCAACTCTGCGCCACCCCCTCCCCCACGGCAGTTGCTCCAGCTCTCAGCACCTTGGGTGAAGGCGCTGTCGTCATGGAAACCACGGTTCACTACACAGAACCTGACATTTGTGGTTGCCATGGAAACCAGCTCTTGGGGGCATTTCCTCCACTTTGCACAAAAGAGACATTTCGATGTGATCTCCGAGGAGGGGGTGGGGACACTGCCCACCCATCTGTCTGCACCTTCCCCTGCTCCCCGCTCCCCAAGACCAGCTGCGGCAGGGGGAGGAACAGCACAGGATGGGACACGCGCCATGGCGACATGAACACCAGGGCACGTGCCCCTGCATGCCCTGCATGCCGAGCCTCACACCGTGGCAGCCACAGGTCACTGGCACCAACATGGCCAGTGTTGCTTGCTCGCTGTGAGCTCCAGCAGGTTTGAGAGGGCCCAAAGCGAAGGCTTCTCCTGGCAAGGGCTTCCGCGCTGCACATGGGGTGCACGGGAGAAGACAGAGAGAGAGCAGAGGCATGGGAAGAGCTGCAGTGACCTCTGCAAGGGGAGGCCTTCCCCCCAGGCTGTGGCATCCTTGCACGGGCCTGAAGACACAGAGGCTCCCATCGCATAGTCCTGCTCACCCATGCGGCCAAGAAAGAAAAGTAAAATACCAAAGACTCCCCTCAAGCAGAAAGAGAAGCCCAAATGTGCACAGAGAGGGGCAAAGTCGCTTTAACTCTGGCCTTGAAGCACCCCTGCGGGGTCCCATCACCGCACACAGGCCTCGGGCTATGGACTCTGTCCCTGCAGCAGGGATGGTCGCCCTTCCCTTGTGGCCATGGGAGGAAGGGAGCAGTGGCATGAGGAGGCAGGCTGCTGGTTTCACTGCAAACTCTGGAAATGCAAATGTTTGTAGCCTCCAGTCGCCAACTGCCATGGGATCAGGGAACACACCTGAGTCCAAGACAGTCACATCAGTAGCAGCACGGGAGGTCCCAGAGGTCAAGTGTGCATGTCCCAGAAAGCAGGTACCAACAGACCGCATGTCTCTACTCTCTACGCGAGCATGTATGTGGTGCAGAGGACTTGAATCAGTGATTTATGTGGCTTTCCCTGCCTCACTAGCTGAGCTTAATTTTCGTCATTAAATTATTTAGCCAAGCATTAAAAATTAACCTATTTGTTCGTTTCTGAAGAGTCTCCCATTAACATTTAGCACATCCTGCCAGGCAACATGCCCACCCTGCACTTCTCCCCTCCACCTACCTGCTGCTAACACTCCTTGGCCTGATGAAGCATGTGTGGCCAGGGACACTCTGCGGGAGGGACAGCAGACCCTGCCTCTTCCAGCTTCTCCCCCACATCCAGGCAGGATGCGCTGCTTCTCTGAAGACCCAAACACACTCCTCCTCCACAGTCTGTAGCATCTCTGCCTGCACTGCACCCTTCTTGCACAGGCGGCCTGGGCGGTTCACTTTCTCCAAAGTTCTGCTGACCATGGGAGCATTAAAGGCCTTCTGATGCTACTAAGCACAGGGTCCACATCTCCTATGTACTGCTCAGCAAGCAGTGAGGAGACCCCAGGCAGGAGGAGAGGCACTGCAGCCTAAAGCTCTCCAGAGAAAGGGTGGTGATGGGAGGTCTTGCTGGTTGGACATCATCGATACTTCACCCCAAACTCAACCCCAGGGCCTGACGAGCACACAGAAGAAGGGTACAAGCTCCCTCTCTGCTTTCAAGGAAATGGTCCCACCCTTGTAGCACTCTTCAGATCACGGATCTGCAGGAAGAAGGTGTGGCCCTGCTGAAATCAGAGGAATCACTGTTCTTGACTTCAAGACCATGTTTTTCAGTGCTAAGGTTCTCCAAGCCAATGACCCAAAAGGACCTAAGCATCATCTCAGCCATCCAGGAGCCACATCTGCCAAGGAGGAGCTTTGACCACTATGACTTGCTTCCTCAGCTTTCAGACTGCAAAAGCTGGAGAGAAACAGCGAGCCCCAGGAACAATAGGGCTCGCTCTCTATTAATTATTGTGAATAGGCCCTCAGGTGCAAAGCAGGGGAACCTCAGAGAATTAAGTGGGTCAGAGGCAGAAAGCATGAAACACACAATGCCAGCTGGCTCCTCTGGGGCTTCAGGAATCCAAGGGCATCCAAGGCCACTGGCAGAATGAGGTCCTGGGTCTTGGTCTCTTCCAGTCATGGGATGCTCTTCTGCTAGCCGCCCCACCAGGTAGGTCACTAGATGTTTAGAATCACAACCACTTCTAGCTGTTCAAAACACATGCATCTAAAATCAGCTTGCACACTAGGATTCTCTTTTTGATCAGGAAGGCAAGCAGAGAGATGGCCTGGTGTCAGTCTCAGTGCTCAAGACTCCTGCTTGCATCTTTCCACTGATGTCTCAGGGTAACTCAGTCCTGCCCAGAAAGACCATCCTTCAGAGTGAAAGGGTAGTTCAGCCTCACACAGAAATGTTAGCAGCATTATTATCAACACGGCTCTGCAGGCTACTTAAGAATTCCCCCCTCCCAGTCCCACTTAGGAGGAGACAAAGATCATTATATGTGCTATTTTTCAGATGGAGAAACCAAGGTACAGGCAGCAGATGAAGATCATGTGGGAGGTCTGCAGCAGAAGCATGAGGTGAAGCCGGGAGTCCAAACCATAAGGCTCCTATCCCATTAACTCAGGCCTTCCCTTTTTGCATAAATAAAGAAGACTGTAGATGGACTGCACCCCACTGCTTTATATCACAGGAAAAAGGCAAATAAACCTTAACTAATTTTGCAGGTTTCCTTGGTGAAGTGTTTTCCTTACCCCAGCACAGAGGACAATCAGGCAGAGTGGAGAAGCCACCCACACCCACACCCAAACAAGGTGAGGGCTGAGTGAAAGCAGAGCTGCATGCAGGTATTCATGGACATCCAAGCAGTGTGTGGTCCACAACACGTGCAGACCAACTGTTGCACCTTTTGGGTTCTCTGCAGGCCTTTGTTGCTCCTCCCTTAACATGCTCCATCATCCTTGTTCTTGCTTCAGCTAGCACTGCCCTGCAAGCAAGGCAAGCACCTTATCACTGCGACTCAAAGCTTTACATCTATCCAATATCAATGTGGAAGTGACAGCACCATTACTGTGCATTAACATCAGATAACCAGCGTGGAGGCCAGTCCAACATAGCAATTACAGCCCCTAACATGTGCATGACCGTTTGGCAGACACATCTCGGGAATTGATGGTCACTCTGTCCTCACAAGGCTCCTTTCTTGATGCCTCAGGGCACAGCACAGAGGAGGACTTCATATAATCTTCCCTGTTGCATGATCTCTTCTTGCCACTTGTGCTTTATTCCCAGTAAATGTCAAAGGGGATTTAATGTGAGAATAGGAAAGGGCCAGCTTCCTCTTCTGTTTGGCCTAGAACATGAAGTATTCCCTGGGGGCAAGAGGAAGGGGAAACAAACAAACAAACAAAAACAACAACAACTGTGCTCAACTCATATGAGAATCTTGTTGCTTTCAAGGTGAGTTTCAGTAGGCAGCATACAGACACAAATGCCCTCCTGCCTTGCTAGGCATGGATGAAGTAACAAAGCACCACTAGCAAGTTTGTCAAGACTACAAGAGCCTGTCCTAGCCTCCAGAAAGCCACGAAAAGGAGCCAGTGCACACTTTAGTACTTAGGCTCTCCATCCTGCATCAGCCACTGGATCTTGCTTCCACAAGGTCAAGGCCTGGGTTAACCAGAAGTCCCTAATCACAGGAACAATTTCCAATCTAGAACAAGGTGGAAGACGCTGTGCAGGCCTATAGGGAGCAGGAATAAGACTGAGATGTATGACCAAGTCACTCTAAGCAAGCCAAACAAGGCTGCAGAGGGGAAGGTTGGGAGTACTGTCAGCACAATGGGAACACCAAGAAGCGACGAAGCTCACGTTGCCACATTCACCCTGCTCTCATCTTCTTGCCAAACTGTGCAGAGAAGGCATGCAAAACTCACCCTGCCCCATGCCTGGCGATGAACCACTGCCATTGCTTCACTGCGCACCTAGTCCCACAGCCTCCAGCACGCTTCCATGCACGGCTCTCACAAGATGGAGCCTGTGGGGCCATTCACACTCTAGGAAAGAGCAGCTAGGGCAGTGGCAGAAAGCCTGTGTTGACTAGGTCTGCAGAGAGCTGGCGCGAGCACCGTGGAGCCTTTGGAAATTCTGTTTGGGCTGGCATGTGTGCGT